TGAAACGAGTTTAGACTGATATGAGAGTGGGTATATGAAGTTCTTCCATTTTAAGGGACTTAACTGTAATTGAATGTGGATAAAAGTCTGTTTTAATTGACCAGCAGTCGCTGCCATCCATCCCCAAACAAGCATAAACAGAGATGCTGATGTTTGACTGTCCAATTGGAGCGGTCAGAGGGACAGGATTCCCCTGGAGGACACGAGCACAGATGAGAAACTGGAATGAATGGTTTCTTCAGGAACTGGGTGCGGTTCTCCATACAGACCATAATATTACACAGCACTGCCAGCTCTCTCTCTCTCACTCTCTCTCTTTAACACACACACACACACTGCAGCTGCTGCATCACTTTAACCCCACCACTGCCATCAGCAGACTCTTACCGCACTCACGGACCTGGACGAGACAGAGATGAGACACAGTTTGATGAGATGAGATGAGTCAAGAGATGAGACTAGATGAGAAGAGGTGAGATGAGAAGATAGACCAAATGGGACAAGAGACTAAAGGAGAGATAAGCTAATATAAGAAAACTATAAAAAAGATGAGACAAGATAAGAGAAAATAATAGAGGAGGAGAGATGAGCTGAGATGATATGAGAGAAGAGACAAAGTTTGATACGATAAGATCAAGAGATGAGACTAGATGAGAAGAGACGAGACAAGGTTTGATGAGATTAAATTAATCAAGAAATGTGACTAGATGAGAGCTGAGATGAGAGATGAGATGAGATGAGACTAAGTTTGATGAGATGAGATGAATAAAGAGATTCAAGAGAAAACTATATGAAAGCTGACATGAGACAAGAGTAGAGGATGAGATGAGATGAATCAAGAGATTCAAGAGAAGACTAGATGAGAGCTGAGATGAGACAAGAGTAGAGAATGAGACGAGATGAGGTCAGATGAGACCAAATGAATCAAGATATTCAATAGAAGACTAGATGAGAGCTGAGATGAGACAAGAGTAGAGAATGAGATGAGAGGAGATGAGACGAGACGAGTCGAGACGAGATGAGAAGAGACGAGACAAATCAAGAGATTCGAGAGAAGACTACATGAAAGCTGAGATGAGACAAGAGCAGAGAATGAGATGAGATGAGACAAAGTTTGATGAGATGAGATGAATAAAGAGATTCAAGAGAAAACTAGATGAAAGCTGAGATGAGACAAGAGTAGAGAATGAGATGAGACGAGATGAGGCGAGATGGGACAAAATGAATCAAGATATTCAACAGAAGACTAGACGAGAGCTGAGATGAGACAAGAGTAGAGAATGGGATGAAACAAGACAAGATGAGTCGAGATGAGATGAGAAGTGATGAGACAAATCAAGAGATTCGAAAGTAGACTACATGAAAGCTGAGATGAGACAAGAGTAGAGAATGAGATGAGACAAGACGAGTCGAGGTGAGATGAGATGAGAAGAGACAAGACAAAGCAAGAGATTCGAGAGAAGACTACATGAAAGCTGAGGTGAGACAAGAGTAGAGAATGAGATGAGACGAGACAAAGTTTGATGAGATGAGATGAATAAAGAGATTCAAGAGAAAACTAGATGAAAGCTGAGATGAGACAAGAGTAGAGAATGAGATGAGACAAGACGAGTCGAGGTGAGATGAGAAGAGACAAGACAAATCAAGAGATTCGAGAGAAGACTACATGAAAGCTGAGGTGAGACAAGAGTAGAGAATGAGATGAGACGAGACAAAGTTTGATGAGATGAGATGAATAAAGAGATTCAAGAGAAAACTAGATGAAAGCTGAGATGAGACAAGAGTAGAGAATGAGATGAGACAAGATGAGGCGAGATGAGACAAATATCAAGATATTCAATAGAAGACTAGATGAGAGCTGAGATGAGACGAGTAGAAGATGAGATGAGACAAAATGAATCAAGATATTCAACAGAACACTAGATGAGAGCTGAGATGAGACAAGAGTAGAGAATGAGATGAGACAAGACGAGTCGAGACGAGACGAGACGAGATGAGGTGAGGCAACACGAGATGAGATGAGACGAATCAAGATATTCAAGAGAAGACTTGATGAAAGCTAAGATGAGACAAGAGCAGAGAATGAGATGAGACGAGACAAGACGAGACGAGATTAGATGAGAAAAGACGAGACAAATCAAGAGATTAGAGAGAAGACTACATGAAACCTGAGATGAGACATGACAAGATGAGTTGAGACGAGATGAGGCGAGGCAACACGAGATGAGATGAGACGAATCAAGAAATTCAAGAGAAGACTAGATGAGAGCTGAGATGAGACAAGAGTACAGCATGAGATGAGACGAGACAAGACGAATCAAGAGATTGTGAGGAGATGAGATGAATCAAGGGATGAGACTAGATGAGAAGAAAGAGCAAATGAGACAAGATGAATCAAGAGGTGAGACAAGATGAGATGAGAGAAGATGAGACGACAGGAGACGAGATGAGACTAGACGAGGTGAGAGGAGACAAGACTATATGAGAGCTAAGATGAGACAAGAGTAGAGAATGACACAAGACGAGACAAGATGAATCAAGAGATTCAAGAGAAGACTAGATGAGAGCTGAAATGAGAAAAGAGAAGAGAATGAGATGAGACGAGACAAGATGATACTAGATGAGAGCTGAGATGAGATGAGACAAGAGAAGAGAATGAGAAAAGATGAGAAGAGAGATGAGCTTTGTCACACAGGTGAAAGCAGTGCTCAGACGAGTCTCATTATCATCTCAGTCTTGTCTCATGTAGAGAATGTGAAGGCTCAGGGTGGCGTTTGAGCTCTCATCGCTCTGTCAATTTATACAATATGTACTGTATAAAGCACTATAGAAACAAAACTGACTGACTCTTTAAAGATTAAAACAACAGGATCTTCTGTCTGACTCCAGCTCGACACACAGCAGCCCCCGCAAACACTCAGATGAAGCTTTGTTTTTTTCATAACGAGCATGTCGAGAAGTAAACAAACTTCTCATTGCACTAATAACATTACACATGAATTATAATTAGCATTTCAGGACTGAAGACATTAGGTTGCACTTAAATCTGAGCTAACCAGTAAAGCCACTGTTCCCGGAGTCAAAGGACAAATATGCTCACGAGGAAATCTGAACGGGTCAGATGCAGAACGCATAAAAAGTAAACGCATGTCACAATCAATTAAAAGTTATGATCGCTGACCTGAACGCATCAATTAGCATGGCGGATTCAACTGTGTCCTTCTAGTGAGAAAAACATCAAATCGAGACTGTAATTACAAAATAATGTCCAAAGCACCAGGTGGTTTCATTTTGACGATCACTTACGATACTGTGCAGTTAAAGCAACCTATAATTGATGCAGAACGCATAAAAAGTAAACGCCTGTCACAATCAATTAAAAGTTATGATCGCTGACCTGAACGCATCAATTAGCATGGTGGATTCAACTGTGTCCTTCTAGTGAGAAAACATCAAATCGAGACTGTAATTACAAAATAATGTCCAAAGCACCAGGTGGTTTCATTTTGACGATCACTTACGATACTGTGCAGTTAAAGCAACCTATAATTATCCTGACGTTGCTAATTAGATACACATTCGCTCTATTCTTATCACACAGAGCGATGCATGTGGAATCCTTTCAAGAGCCTTAATAACACACGCTAGTTAGAGATCAAACATCATCCAGTTGAGCTAATCGGGCAGCATTTGAGATCATTCCTAAATGCAGACGGGATGGAAATATCTCTAAGAATAGAAAGGAAATACAGGCGCCAACACATGGGCGTCTCCTGCGGCCCTTTATACTCATCGATGACAGATATGTGCATGTTCAACCGCTCCCAAAGCCGGAATGCTGTGTGGGTTAGTCTTCCTGACAAATGCGCTGGATGTTTTCATGAACAGCAGTGAAGGAACATATTTCAGGCTGCTGAGGTTAAAACCACAGACGGACAGTCTCCGTTTACCGCCGTACTCACTACATGCTCGCTGTTGTTAATCTGAGGGTTACATGTGTGTTTGTGTTTGTGAATGAGGAACTTCAGGTCAGATCAGGGTTGCATGGACTTCTTCTGCTTCAGCAGCTTTTTTTCTCATGTTAAAATGATTTTGTTTTGAATTTCAGCAGATGGTCATTTGTAACTACCTTTTTAAAAATGCAAACACATAAAACTTACATTATGATAAAAATGCATGAAGCAAAGATTCACATACAAGTAATAATAATTGCATGGAAATATTAAAATAAATAGAGAGATAAAAAAAATAATATATAATAAATAAATAAATAAATAAAAAGTACACCCAGCAAGTTCAATTTCAGCTAAAGCAATGTATATATATATATATATGAAAATATATTTACAGTAGTTTCAAAATGTATTTCAGGGGCAAAAAATAAATTTCCAATCTTACAGCAACCTACATTTAGGCTAAATGCAATATATAAAAAAATATATATTTGTGCCATTTTTTGTATATTTGAAATATATATATATAATTTATTTATTTATTATTTATTCAGTTCAATGTTGATTCAATAATATTGTCAATATTGAAAAATCCATCATTTATGAACCAAATTCAATTTCAGCAGTAAAACAGCACTACAGAAGTCATTATTCAGATCAATTCAGTAAGGTTTTGTTCTCTTCTGATTATTTGATCAGTCAAATCAATAATATTATTGAATATTAAGTGTCTTTTAAAAGATGTGACCACTAAAGTTTTGGAACACCATTTTAGTAAATAAGAAAATTAATTTTAATTAATTGCAACTAATGCAATCAAAAGTGAATAATCTGCCAGAACCCAACAGAACCATTGATCTGGCTTATGAATTGTCTCAAACTCCTCCAGACGTCATGATGAATCTGTAGAGATGAAATGATCACGTATGGCAGGGTCTGGTGCTGTTTCTCCTAATCAAAACTCATTCTGTATTATTTATAAGCTTGTTTCCTCATGGGGACCTAAAAATGTCCCCACAAGGTCAAAATTTACTAGTATTACTATCCTTGTGGGGACATTTAGTCCCCATAACGTGATAAATACCAGGTACACACACACACACACACGCACACGCACATGCACACACACGCACACGCACACACACACACACAAGCTGTTGGTAAAGGAAGGGCTGCACAATTAATTGAATTAAAACCGAAAAAGCGAAATGACTTTGTGTGATTCTCAAAATGCGAAGACTGTGATTTAGTTAAATAAACATATGCATGGCAGTGTGTTCTTGTACAGGTGAGCGGCTCATGATCGGGTGTTTTCAGCGTCTCTTCATCTGCTTACAACACGCCTTTGAAAAGCAACACAAACCATCTTCATAAACTTGTATTGAGAAACACATATAAACCATCTGTTGCCAACAAAACACAAGCTTTAAGAGCTGCATGCAGTTTACCACCAAGGTTTTGTTCTCTTCTGATTATTTGATCAGTCAAATCAATAATATTATTGAATATTAAGTGTCTTTTAAAAGATGTGACCACTAAAGTTTTGGAACACCATTTTAGTAAATAAGAAAATTAATTTTAATTAATTGCAACTAATGCAATCAAAAGTGAATAATCTGCCAGAACCCAACAGAACCATTGATCTGGCTTATGAATTGTCTCAAACTCCTCCAGACGTCATGATGAATCTGTAGAGATGAAATGATCACGTATGGCAGGGTCTGGTGCTGTTTCTCCTAATCAGCCAACAAAACACAAGCTTTAAGAGCTGCATGCAGTTTACCACCAAATAAAAGCTCAATGATTTAATCTTTGAATATGAAGAAATTAAGACTTAAGCATTGTAATTTTACTGTTGTACTGTAAAATAAAATTACTACATTTTATTTAAATCTACTTTTTATTTTACAGTAAAATATTACAATGTCACAGTATCGATCCTTAATTAGTTTATTGTTTTATTTATAAATAATATTTTACAGTCATAATCATTGTGCAACCCAACCGGGCTTTAAATTAAGTTTTTAACCAGTCGTTTAAAAGATGTGACCACAAAAGGTTTGGAACGCCATTTTAGTAAATAAGAAGATTTATTTTAATTAATTGCAACTAATGCAATCAAAAGTGAATAATCTGCCAGAACCCAACAGAACCATTGATCTGGCTTATGAATTGTCTCAAACTCCTCCAGACGTCATGATGAATCTGTAGAGATGAAATGATCACGTATGGCAGGGTTTGGCGCTGTTTCTCCTAATCAGGCCGGGTCTCATCGTAACCTCTCTCGCTCGCTCCTCAGCGCCTCTCTAATGGAGTAATTTACCCAAACACGCTTCCCCTGTGCCGGGTCACTGGGGCTCGTTCCACCAATTAACACGGGGCTCCGTCAATGCCCATGAGAGCCGCTCGCTAATGACCAGCATGTGTGAAATCAGAGCCGTTCTCTCTCTCTCTCTCAGCACATAATGTCACAGTATCGATCCTTAATTAGTTTATTGTTTTATTTATAAATAATATTTTACAGTCATAATCATTGTGCAACCCAACCGGGCTTTAAATTAAGTTTTTAACCAGAAAATTCACAATTAGATTTTTTCCCCAAATTGCACAGCCCCAGGTAAGGGTGTTTTCCTGCTGGTCCTATAGTTCAGACATTAAAAACATCAAACAGCTTCTGAATTTTTAAATAAAATATAGCATGTTTTGAATAGAAATGGCATTTGGTGTGCAACACTACTGATCCATTTCTAATTTTCAAATAATTCTTACTGATGTTACCAAAAACTTCATCACAAATCACAGGATTCTTTGATGAATAAAAAGTTAAACAGAAGAGCATTTATTTAAACTTTTTTTTATTTTCTAACTATATACACTACATTTCAAAAGTTTGGTGTCTGTAAATTTTTATTCTTTCTTTTTTTTTTTGAAAGAAATTAAAACTTTTATTCAGCAAGGATGTGTTAAATTGTTAAGAAGTGATAGCAAAAGATTTATATTGTTAGAAAAGATTTATATTTTGAATAAATGCTGTTCTTTTTAACATTTTATTCATCAAAGAATCCTGAAAAAAGTATCGCAGTTTCCCCAAAAATATTTGGAAGCACAACTGTTGCCAACATTGATAATTCTAATAATAAATCAGCATATTAGAATGATTTCTGAAGATCATGTGACACTTTATACTGGAGTAATGAGACGTCATGATGAATCTGTAGAGATGAAATGATCACGTATGGCAGGGTTTGGCGCTGTTTCTCCTAATCAGGCCGGGTCTCATCGTAACCTCTCTCGCTCACTCCTCAGCGCCTCTCTAATGGAGTAATTTACACAAACACGCTTCCCCTGCGCCGGGTCACTGGGGCTCGTTCCACCAATTAACACGGGGCTCCGTCAATGCCCATGAGAGCCGCTCGCTAATGACCAGCATGTGTGAAATCAGAGCCGTTCTCTCTCTCTCTCTCAGCACATGTGAAAATTAAGCTCTACCGGAGCAGAAAATGTGATTCACTTTCTCTCTAACGGAGGGCAAGATTTTCATTATATTCACCTGAAATTGAGGGTCAGGTGACGGAAAGACAGAAAATAACATTCTGACCACACACACAGAGACACACACACACACACACACACACACACACACACATGTTGTGTATTCATCACGTTATGGGGACATTCCATAGGCGTAATGGTTTTTATACTGTACAAACTGTATGTGCTATTGCCCTACACCAACCCTACCCCTAAACCTACCCCTCACAGGAAACTTTGTGCATTTTTACTTTCTCAAAAAAACTCATTCTGTAAACATCAAACAGCTTCTGAATTTTTAAATAAAATATAGCATGTTTTGAATAGAAATGGCATTTGGTGTGCAACACTACTGATCCATTTCTAATTTTCAAATAATTCTTACTGATGTTACCAAAAACTTCATCACAAATCATCTACAGATAATGTCAACAAACAAACAGCTATTTAATCCAGTCGGAGTTATAGTATATTAAAAATTGTCCTGGCTATTCCAAGCTCTATCATTGCACTCGCACGGCATAAAAGCCCGGTTTCATCCAGACAGTGGTGTGTGAGTGGATCTCACCTGGTAGAAGTTGGGCCAGTACGTGCTGATGGCCAGCTCCACCTGGTTCCAGCTGCGTCCAGCCGGTCCAGACGTGTTCCACACAGGCAAACCCATCGGGCTGTTGTTCTCCTTGATGTAGACGTTCAGATGTCCAGGCCGTCCTCCCGCTCGTCCCGCCACGTAATACTGGAATATGACGCAGTGCGTGTCGTTCTCCTTCAGCTGCGGCGTGAAGAGCAAAGCCTTCTGACCCGCAAACCGACCCGTCGAGTTCACCATCATGAACGCAGAACCTGTGGACGATAAACCCAACATCTCACTTTCTCTGCACTTCTGAACCGTTTGATTGTTAATTCACATATAAATGTCAGTCAAGAGTATTACTGTGAATGCAATTGCTCTCTGACACATTTCTGAGTTGTGAAAGTGTCCATATGATGTAGATGTTATTTAAAAATATATTGTATATATATATATATATATATATATATATATATACACTCTACCGGT